TTGATTAAGGAGAAAGGCAGCACAATATTGTCTTTTTTCTGTTTCCCCTTTCTTTTCTTCTTTTTCCCCCCCTCCTCTCCCCTCTCCAGTCACATTTTAGATTCTCTTTATAAACGAAACAATGGATATTTATTTGTTTGTATTTAGGTCATTTATTTAGAAATCAACAATCCACCGACTTTCTTTCTGCTTGTCGTTGTCACATTGGAATCATCCCCTAACATAAAATCGAGACCTATAAACGCTTGTTTGTAAAACACTGAACTCAAAATCAATGTATTGGGTCATTTCGATCGATTATATAAACGAAAATCCATACGCAACATGAGACCGGTATCAACCCACTCTTCCGCTCCCTTTTAAGGAGAGAGAGGGAGAGACGGAGAGAGAGAGGAGGGGAAAATAGGGAAAGCTTAGAAACAAATACTGTCAAAGTAGACCTTTACATCAGTCCTAGAGCAGGAACAATCCAAAATGTTTTTTTCTGATCAAGGACTTTCAAAAAGGGCCCATCACACAGAAATTGGGGGTTGATTTAATTGGATTTTGGCCCCAGTATGTTTTTGTTGTTAATTAAGTAATGCTTATACCAGAAGCTGCAAGATAAACCTTTGTTTAAACACATATGATCACTAATTACATTAATAGATGGAGAAATAAAACAATTCCTCAGTTCATCTCCACGCCCCCAACCCCCATGGCTTATTTTAAAAGAGGTTCTTGAACCCCCTTTTAAGCCCTGGATGTCAAAGTGCTTCCAGATGCACAGATAGGCCAACTCCTGATGACAACAATTAGAAAAATGCCCTAATCAAACGGAGCTACGCGGGATTAATTCACATTTCAGGGGTCAAGGGGACCCCCACCTCCATTCTCCACCTATACCCATCTTCCGCCTCCGCACCTTATATCGCATTTCAACATCATCTAACCTGCGCAAAGAACAATCAACCACTTCAGGCGCTGTAATCACGTATGCAAATTCAACGGCCAAAGGCACGGACATGACAGCCGGTGCGCAGCGTCAGATGAGCTGTTGCATAAACTGTGCATTAATGTGCAACATGATATGGGGGGTTGGGGTGAGGTGTTGTTTGGGGGGGGGGGGGGGGGGGGGTCAGGACAGGCTGAGGGGTAAAAGAAGGAGGCGGCAATCATGTAAAATTTACATGGGACCACAGCTGCTAGGGCTGTGGAACAGAAGAGGTGGGGTGGCTCCATAGGGAGGAGGAGAGGGTGTTGGGGTGGGTGGGGGGGCTTCTTGAGATTAGGAGAAAGAGGGTTGAAGGTCCGGGACGGTGGGTCTGCTGGTGCCTCTGTGTTTATTTGATAAGAGCTAACCGTAACCCCCCCTCTAAACTCTTTCTAGAGACACAGGCGGGGCAAAGTTGGCCATGATACAACTGCTGCTGTTACTACCGCTGCCTCTGAGCAAGTGTGGAAGGAGAAGCCAGGAAGAAGAAGAAACAAGAGAGGAGGAGAAGGATGACATGACAGAGTTGGTCGCCCCACATTTCGGGTCGCTCACACGAGAGAGGAAATCCACACTAACTGAGCGCACACGGGCGCACACGCACACGCGCGCTTCTAACACAGCACACACTTTCCATTCAGTCTCACCTCGCCCTGCTGCCCTCCTCCCACTTGCCCCTTTGGTCCTCCGATCTTTTTCATTGTTGAACTCTATTTAATAGACACGCGTCCAGTGAATGCCTTCCATATATGGACAAAGGAATAAAAAAAGACCCCTGGAAAACGCCGCGTAGAGATGTCCCGAATCAGACCTTATAGATTTTAATGGCGCATTTTATTTATTGTTCATCAGATTCAAACGGATAATATTTTGAAGCTGATGTGAATAGAGTGAATCACTTAAAAAAAAAAAAGTAATAATAGTAATCGAAAAAACTGAAACTAATAATTAATTAGAACATACTGTCACATAATCCTACAATAAAACAAAAAAACAGAAAATAATATATAATTACCACCCCAAGAAGCAATTATAATGATCATAAATTATTATTATTATTATTATTATTATTATTATTATTATTATTATTATTATTATTATTATTATTATTATTATTATTATTAACAATTATAATAATACAACATAACATTATTAATAATAATAGTAATAGCATATAGATCATAATGACAATTTTAAATTTGACTAAATTAAGTTTACTTGTAAAGGCCTGCACTAAATGGCCTAACGAACCTGTGTAATCTGTACTATATGTCTTGTTGTTAAAGTCGGAGCCTTGAATGTGTCAATTTATATGTTGCAGGGACCCCCCCTCCACCCCACCCCACACCAACACTCACAAACACTGTCACCCTTGCACCTTTCAAACCCATCATCCACCGGTCGGGCCCACCCTCTCTCTCTCTCCACCAAACCTCCCCTCCTTTAGCTTTCCTCTGACACTCAATCGGCCGTCCCAACAGTACAAATAACCCGGTCAGCACCGAGAAGTCAGCTCCATGGCAACAAATTGACATCTTGACACCTTGAGTAAAAACCCCACAGTCCTCTCATGCTGACTTTTTTTTTTTTTTTTGACCAAGCAATTGTTGGATACAAATAATAATTCAATTATCTAAAAAATAAATAAATAAAAGAATTATGAAAATAAATATAATGTACAGGCTTAAAATATGATAATAAATAGCTTTAGGCCTCATTAAAAAAGTTGTAAATATACAGAAGTCCTGAGTACAATTATTTAATTTCTTTCTCCGGTTTTTTATTTTATATTGCAGGCACCTAAAAGCAGATATATTCTACCGACCACTGTTGTCAGCTTGTTGAGTGCTTCTGCTGCCTGGACGCCATCATCATCCACCAACCCAGCCAAGTCTTCCTGAGGCACAATGACCAATGCATAAATGCGTGCGGTTAAAAGGGACGCATGGACCAAACAAATAAGGAATGCTTAGAGGGAAATGGCAATTTAAAAAAAAGGAAGAAAAAAAAGGATGGAGGCATCCGATTGTTTGTTTGGTTTTAGTTGTTGTTGTTGTCATTTTTTTGTGATGTACAGTGATCCTGAAAGATTCCTGTTGGTTTCATTGCTGCAATAGAAGGGTCCTTATGAGGGCTCTTCAGTCTCCTCTCCCGGTAACATCATTAAACCAGGTGACCCGAGTTCAAGCAGCACATTTCTGCAAACACCCAAGTGCCTGTGAGCAAAATACTGCTCTTCAGGCTCTCCTGTGCTTTGGTGATTCTGACCTCTGACCTTACTGAGTTAGATGGCAATATAAAAAAAAACAGTTTTATACACAAGGAGCAAGCTTTACATTTTATTGTTAAAAATAATCACTTTAATTAATAACAAAACAAACATTCTTCTAGATGAGTAATTCACCAATTTATATGTATATACTAAAATGATAAATGCCCTAAAAATAAAAAAAAAGGCCTCACAGATTTGTTATTGTTGTTTTGAAATAGGGATTTATTAAAAAATACATAAAATCTAAAATCTATATTTGCATCATCTCATACATTTCTGAAGATAACCTAAATGAATTTGGACAGCTTCCACCCCTGAACCTAAACTTATCCTAAATAAAACATAGATTCAGATGGAATTTTATTAAAACCGTGCACATATATCAACACACATACGGGCACACAAACACAGTCTCTGTTATGTTTTCAATTTAGGTTGAAATGTGGACATTTTCCCTTGGTTGCATAACTGCCATCCATATTGCTCCTCCCTTCAATTAAATGCTACTTCTCCCAAACAAAATGTCAGAAACGCTCTACACAGGGTAGTTCAACAGTGATTTGTTCTGAAAGCTATGTGTCCTTTTTTCTAGAAGAGGGGTGTGTGTGTATTTATTTGTGTGTGTGTGTGTGTGTGTGCACTATATGTGTGGCTTGACCTCAATTGTGACTGAGTTCACAAAGGGATAAAAAAAAAAGGTGCCTAAAAATACACTTAATTCACAATCAGGCTGAACTGAGAATGACAAATCCTTTCAAGACACCCCACAGTGAGATGTGAGATTATGAAACATAAATGCACGCACAGACAGGAGAGACACACTCAACGTTGTTTTAACTGTTCATGTGCATGGATGTATGAGAGGGTTATACTTAATCTGCACTGGAAAATAAAGTTCATCATTCTGATCAACTAAATCTCTTTTATAATGGCATGTCTGGCCTAAAAACCTAAATTAGAAATTTAAAAATATAAGAAAATAATATTAACAAGAAAAGAAATTTCAATGAATCTGTTATGTCTATCATACATTTTTAATGCTCTACAGGTTAAAGTCAATCAGAAAAACTCCAGTTATATATTAAAGATTCATATTTGCTTGGTAACATGTAACATCAGACAAAGAAAAAAATAAATGATGCATGTATTTAAAGTTTTTGCATCATATCTTTTTGAAAATTCAGTACAGGGTCACTCTGCTTAAGCCCACTGGTTTAGAGACTCCAAGATGGCGGTACACCTGTGATGGAGGTGGATTCTCTTGATTACATATGGAGATCAACTCAAGGCCTCTGCAAACTACGAACAGCAGGCAAACCTTTGGTTGCCGGTTCAGCGCCGGTCAAAGGCTTGTCATTTTAACACCACCGACTACCCCCTCAGTATGAGAGGATAAACCCTCTCTCTCTATATATCTCTTTCTTTTTCTATCCATCTTGTGCACAGACACAAACACCCAGACACATGCACCCGCACTTCCTGTTTCTTCCCCTCCAATACCTTCTCTCTCTGTGTCTCTCACATCAGAAGCGCTGAAATGCACCCCAGGGCCAAATCGCACAGAACAACCCCTCTGAGCCAGAGAAAAAAGCTGGAATCCGTTTGCCCTGATATTTCACCAGCACCAGCCAGGAGCGAGGGGAGAGGGAAAGACAGAGGGAAAGGAAAGGAGAAGAGAGGAGAGAAAGGGAAGCGTGAGAGAGAGAGAGACTGGGGGGGGGGGGGGGGGGAGAGATTGGGGCAGAGAAAAAGGAATAGATGGGAAAAACAGCAGACTAGGGTTGCATTTGGTGGGGGTGTGAGTGCCATGCTGTAGGCTGTGGGACAGTCGGGACAGTGCAAGGTGTTGCTACTGCTAGGTGTGGTTAGGTTTACAGAGAGGGAAGAGCATGCATAGTGATAATGGAGGTGGTAAAGAAAGGGGGGAGAGATGGAAGGATTGGTCATGCGCAAGGTAAGAGTGAGGCTTTGTTTGATTGTATATGGTGGTGGTGATGGGAGGAGGGGTGGGGGGTAAAGTGGGGATTGGAAGGAGGGGGCTGAAGCTGTCATCTGTGGGGTTATTATTATTGCAGGCAATCTTCCTGTGTGTGTTTGCGTGTGTGTGTTTGTGTATGTGCCTAGTGGTGGAGGGATGAGGAAATATGAGATTCAACTGTGGGGCTATTTTTTTTTTTAATCTTTTTCTGTGCATGTCATGTGGTAAAAATGACAAAGGTCTGAGGTCATACATGCAGATATGTCCATCATTTGGGGATTCTCATTTGAATATTTAACGAGAAAATAGCTGATTCCACGTCTGATTGGTGAGCTTAGGCCTCATATTGATCTGATTGGAGGGCTGCACTCAAAGTACAGTAATGACCACAAAAGTAGGCCCAGCTGATTAACATCTCCTCCCTCTATATGCCAGTAATAAGTAAGAGGAACAGGATATCTTAGGAAAAAAAATAGATAAGAAAAACACATAAAAGAGATCTACAGCACTTCATGGAAGAAAGGATGATTTTTTTTTTTGTCTTTTTGTCCAGTTTAATGGGAGTACAGTTAATGGGCTTTTCTTTCTTTCATTCTTTTTTTTTTTAAATCGGGCATAGGCATCAATCAGAAGGTGTCAGCCGGCCGTTGAATCTGGGCTGTGGTCCTCTTCACAGATGACTGATTAGCAAGCCAAAATCACCAGATCCATCTTCCTACGGTCACTTTTATTACAGTCATTTTTAAAGTGACAGCAACCTGCCTTGTCTCACAACACTGGCCACCACATATATATTCTCATCTTCTCTACCCTTCGTTTCGTCCCGTACTGCATCCGTCTTCCTCTCCTGAACTGTCGGCAAGCATTTGGTCGGCTACCATCCTGTTGTTTTTCTTTTAACTACTTTTATTACACTTTTTTGGGTATGTCTCAAAAAAAAAAAAAAAAAAAAACTATCTCTGCTTATTCCCTTTCTCTTGAACTTGTTCCTTGCTGGGGCAAGTCGAGGGAAAGCAGGGTCAGGGAGGTGTGGAGAATACGAGGAAAAAAGTGAGACCCCCACCTCTTTCATTGTCTGATGGGTGTGTTCAGAATCCCTATTCCGTTTGCTCTCCAGGGAAGGCGAGAAATTCGTTTTGCACAGGGTCTGTCTCAGGATGGAATAGGAAACCTTCGCTCTCATGCACAAAATGAATGTAAATGAAACAGTTTCGGCAAGGAGTACAATGGTCACAGCTGCATTTTACATGGCTGCATTCTGAGACACAGGCAGGGTGACATTAAAAGTTAGAGGCCGGGGAGTGTTAAAATGTGCTCTCGGAGGCCGTGGTGTAATATTATGTTGCAGGGAACAGCTTTTCAGGAGATAGTCTGGGAGAAAGATTTTGTTACGGAGCTTGTCAGTCAGATATCTCTCCTTTGCTTGCTTCAGTTTGCTTTCAAGCTGCATTCCAGATAAATCACAACGTCAAATAATCATTGGGGAATGATTCAAAATGGCAGCTGATTTAAGGTTTACCCAGTGGTTTGCATGCATATATTTGTGTGTGAGACAGCAAGTAACCATGTATGGGGGCCAAGCCTAAAAGAGCACTCTTCTGTCTTGGCAGCAGTTATGCTAATCTCAGTTGACATGAATATGAAAAAAAGAATTGCTGGAGTAACATGTGTCTAAGATTATATTTACAACTTTCTGAGCAAAGAGGGACCTAGCAACACACATATGCAGACCCACACACACACGTGCATGAACACACAGTTAAGGAAAAGTGGGTCAGGTAAAACAAGGAAACGCATTTCTGAGACAGCCTGCCATTTGCAATCTCCTCAAAAAACAACTGATTGAACAGCTTGTCGAAATATTAAGGCTCAAACATGAAAGCTTTGGAGTCATCTTAAACACAAAGAAGGATTATTCTATTAAACAAATGTGTCCTTTGTTTTTGTTTTTTTTTGTTCCCGTACCAGCTTAAATACTAAAAGCTTTTAACATTAAGATCTAGATAAGCTATTGGCCTCTTTTCTTTCTTTGGATTAAAAAAAATGAAGAAGGGAACATGGAACATTTTTTGTGGGGGTTGTGATATGTGTAACAACAGAACCTGGGTCACATTTTACAATAAGGCACCTGAACATCAGAGTGACTCAGAAGGCTGTAAAATATGTGTCCTGCTAAACTCAATTTGGACTGAACCTTCAGATGCAAGTGTGTGTTGAAGGGACAGATAAAAAGACATATGCACACAGGAAATCATTCTAATGGCACTAGCAGCTGTGGCTTACTAAGTGAACACATATGACTGCAGATATATGAGGCCAGTCCTTCCTAAAGCTTTGGAATGAGAGTTTTTCTAATATATTAGAAGTAGAGTTTGCTCTTAAACTTTGTCATCCAACCATAAATCATTTCTCTGTTGAAAGGTATCAAAACGGAAACAAAACTTTGGCAGTAACATCTTCTTCTTTCTTTAGCCTGCTCTCACAACATACATTTTGATCTATCAAGAGGGGCAGCTGAAAACTAAGAGGTCTGAGTGAAATTGTCCCAGATATCCTACGATAAAAGAACGCTGCTGTATTTTACTTTAAAAAAAAAAAATTGACGACAAGCTGTAACTGGCATAAAATCCCCCCATAGATTAAATGTCCTAGGAATTGTACCTTTATCCGGAAAACACACACATCTGTGAGCCAGAAAAAAACACACAAGTATGCACACACAACTTATCAAATTCAGTCACCAAAATACCTCTGAGCAGAGGGAAGCCACAGAGATATAGATTTTAAAATAACAGAAAGCTTGGACATGGGCGAAAGCAAAATTGCATGCAAATACATAAACAGGCATGCACTATATGCTGTCAAGTCTGAACACTATATAAATGCATACATGTCTGCATAGAAAAACACTTAGTTACTCACAGGTGCTGAGACTGGAGACACACTGGGGGGCAAATCATAGCAGGAGACTTGCAGCGTGTTTGCCTGATTACCAGTCAAGAAAATAGCAAATAGAGCATGCTCACACTGCCACCTCCATCCTCCTACACAGATATGCACATACACCTGTTTCATTGTTGGTTAGTCTCTTTACTGCCTATTAGAATCTTTGAAATTTTTATTATTCCTCCTATTTTGTGCCCATTCTCTTTATTTTATTTATTTTTTTCAATGCTTTCGTCTTGATCACAGTGCGTTTCTTTTCTTCAATAACAATTAAGATTAGACTGGAATTTAAATACTGAAAATTTTAATATTTTTATCAAGTTAATTGGGTGAAAATACCACCATAAAATGTAAAAAAGTGTAAAGCTTACATAGCTAAACAATGTGGGTGAATGATCGGTATTACATAAAGAAGTGTGTTAATGTTTTAGATGCTTCTCTGAATATCTCTGAGAAAAGAGATATTTTATTTCCTCTAACTGCTGAGTTGTGGAAACGTTTTCAAGTTTTTATTGCCGTGTGGCTTTAAGCGGTTATTTTCTCCAAGATCTCAGATTTTAAGAGCATGAAAACAAAATGCAACACAATGTCTAATAAAACAGCTAAACATTAGGATGCAAAAGATTATTACTACCTTTTTCAATGATCAATAGAAAAATCTTTTAATGAGGTTACAGCAATCAAACCCATCCCATGATTGCTGACCAGCTTTTTACAAGATTCCACTGGTACCAAACACCCAATCAACTAAAAGCAATCATATGCGAATTACAGCTGCTTTAACATATTTTTTTTTCTTCCAAATATTGAACATATCAGAAAAACACCTTTTTAAATGATAGAAAATATTATGAAAAGGAAACATAATAGCATTACTGCAAACCTTCAAATGAATAATTCTTGAGATAACTGGCAGGCGGGGGTGATTCCAGGAGAGCTTAAGCTATTTTTTTTCTTTTCTTTTTTTTGTGAAGATAACTATTATTGTCACTAGAAAATATTTGTTACACAGCAAACACATTAAAGAATTCTCTTCATTCATGTGAGACCAAAAAGAAACTTTCTGGCCTAAATGCCAAATGCAATGTATAATAAAAAACACAGCAAGTCAAACTGAACTCACCATACCGGAATGAAAACATGAACGCTGGCATCATCATGATGTCGGGGGGGCTTTTACCTGGCAAAGACAAAGAAACTAGATAAAGATAAAAGGAACTACATACAGGGCTTTTCTTGAGGAACTCGGTCGGCAAAATATTGCAAGGCAGACAATCCGTGCAAGCATAGTATGTGTGTTTTAAAGACACAACTGTATATCAAGAGTCACATTCTTATTTACACTCAAATGACTCTTAACTATACTTGTAAAAGATTACACTGACAAACCATTGACCAGACTTAGATTATATATAACACATTACACATGCTGAACATTTTAAAACCTATAAAAAATATATTGAGCCCTAACTAGAGTTTAATTTTGAGCACTAACGTGTTGAGGAGCTACACGTTCTGTATATTACATTAAATCTATTAAATGTCTATTTTACAGTCTGCTCTACTGGGGCAATTTTATGTATACAATATGCACAGCCACCTGGTTCTCATGCAAAACTCACAGCTGTTCTCACGCAGAGAGAGTCAAGGCAGAGTATGAGGAGGTCAGACAGAGGTAAACCTAAATAAAGTCTCTAACAGGCCTGCTTTACAAGCCCTAGTTAAAGGTACTGATTCAGCTGTAATAAAGCTACTTTTTTAGTGAAAATTACAGGTTACAGTATATATGTTCATATCATCTCTCGGCATCTGTTTCCCCTTGCTAAGTTATGTCCAAAATTTATAATGGAGTTGTGACCTTTCAGAAGAATGAGGGGGGCACCAAGAAAATCCATGAACGTCTTAATTCGATCACTTTCAAACAACAGAGGCCAGTTTTGGGAGAAGAGGTGGGGGCAGCACATATAACAGCTAAATCTTTCCCTGCTTTTTATTTTCACTTCATACTTGTCAGTGAAAGGTTCTTTTGT